ATTAATATTTTTGTGATAATTCTTGTTTGTTGCGATCATTAATTGCTTGCTGCTTATCTACAAGCAAAAATTAGATCAATACATTGATAAATGCACCTAGGAGAACTTCTTAAACTTTGCGTTTGCAAGTGGTGCTATTTTATTTTTCGCAACTGTATATATAAATAAACGCAATCAGAATTTGATACATTGTGTAGCCCATATATTGCCCCAGAAAAAAACTCTATAAATATATATTATTTGCCTTCAGTAAGTTCATTCATAATTTGATTAACCTCCCCGTAATAAACTGAGGAGCTAAGGGGCGACATTTTTATCTACCCTTGTGCCACTCGTCAAGTTAATCAGAGACAGCGTGAAATGCCCTGAGGGTCCAGTCGGGCAGCTAGAGAAGTTTCGGAAAGCACTTTGCGCTTGACTTGCGCTGCAGTCCTTAAGTCCTTTAATTAAAATGCACATCGAGCGAGCTGTGTGAAGCTGAAATTTTTGGACACGTTTTTACATTGGATGGACGTAAAAAATTTTGCTGCTCCCTTTATTATTTTTTCTTCAATTTTTTCTCCATTTTTTTTTTTTATTTTGTGCAGTTTTGGGCAAATTTTCCACAGCTTTACCGAACGAAGCAAATGGAAAAAGTTTTTCAATTTGTTTGACGGTAAATGAACTTTTCTATGCTGCCAAGCCTTTGCCTCAGTGTGTCTATGTATGTGTGTGTGTGTGTGTAAAGACGAAGCTGGGCATTTGAATTATGGCATAAAAGAGGCGTTCTGCTATCATAATAAAATTGTAATTAAAATTAAATATAAAATTGGGTAAACGGGTACTTCCAAAAGGGCTGTGTGCAGCCCGTGCAAATGCCGAAAATACGGGCCAAATACGGCAAATGGTTTCTAAAATGCTAACGGTACATCAAAAAATAAAAGAAAAGTTTTGTGCTTATTTTTATTGACTCCGAATGTTCAAGTGACAAAATTATAGCACTCAAATTTATAGCATGCGATAAATTTTAACAAGCCCCCCTCAGGCATGGTCGGCTAATTGTGAGAGAGAGAAGCAGACAATGAGACAAAGAGACAAAGAGAAAGCAGCTACAATGGGACGGGGCATCATAAAAGTTTTTGCAAAGCCATTAAAATGAAATTTCGTCGTGTCTCTGCAGAGAGAAGGTAAAAAAAAAGAGAAAAGGCAACATGAACTGATCAAACATTTCAATTCCGTTGCAGGCATGCAGGCGCTTCTATAGGTGCGAGTGGGACAACCAGTGTGTGTGCGTGTGAGTGTGGAAGGAGAGTTGAAAGCAAAGACATGGGGACAAGACAACACTTACAACTGATGTACGAGGGGCCGGCAGCGGCAGCGGCAGCAGCAGCCGCAGCAGCGGCAGAGGCAGTGGCCGACAGCGGCAGCGACGTCGTCATAGTCGTTGTTGTTATTGTTGTTGTTGTTGCCGTTGCTGTGTAGCAGCCATTCAATGGCGTCGTCAGCGTCATCGACAGCGTCGTCGGCGGAGTCGGCGTCGGCGTCAGCGTCAGCGTCGTCTGTGAACAATGGCCATGACTCGCAGCTTGGCCGTGACTGTGGGCGTATGCCGGCGTATGGGCGTGGCAGTTGGCCGCGCAGCTCGCTGGCGGCGGTGCCCTGTGCAGATGCAGGCCAATGACATTCACGCCGTTCACATTGCCTAACATTTGCCGCGCACACATACAGACACAAGCGCAAGCACAACACACGCACACACACACACACATACATTTGTAGTTACAGTTACGAGTTACAGTTACAATTTTACGAGTTACATTTACAGTTACAGTTAAAGTTACGAGTTGCAGTTACATGACAGCACGCACACACACAGACACACACATATGAATATGTATATGTATGTATGTAAGTTGGGAGGTGGGAAGGAAGCCAACAAACAATCAAACAAACAAATACACGGAAAACAACATCGAAAAGATTGTGAGGATATGCAAAATATTCAATATAGCGTATTAACACATACACACACACAAATAAATCATAAAGCACACATACACGCGCTCAAGGGGCTTGCTGATATGTGATTGTGTTTGTGTGTGTTTGTTTGAGTGTATTGCATTTGTACTTTGTGTACGTGTTTTGAGTGAAAAGTTGTTATTGAAAAATAATATTTGCATTTAGCAAATAATAAAATAACCAGAGTGATAAATTTTAAACCAAATTAAAGAAAAATATTTTTTTTTTCGAAAAATAATAAATTAAATATGACTAACTCACAACAGATGGAGTAAGAAATTTTACAAACTAAATAAAAATATATTTTCGAAAATTATAAATAAATTTTAAAATA